CTTCACATGGAGGTGACTAGAGTCCATCACTGTAGAGACCAGAAACCACCAGCTGAGCTACTCTGCCCGGTCTGGTGGTCCCTGAGACCGCTGGGCCTCGCTGAGCTCTGTGTCCAGATATATTGTGGGGTCCACTCCGAACCCCTCCATCCTGGACACCACAGCTGCAGGCCCATCTGCCTTTGGAGGGGACCTAGTGCCTGGTGCATTCATGTGTGAGTCGGCTCCTCACTGCCCTCCTCTGACAACCCTGAGCTAGAAGGCCAGATGGACCTGGCTGACCCTCACTGCAAAGTCTCTCCTCCCTCCGCACGGAGGAGTGATGGACCAGTGGGCGGCCATCCTGAATGCTTCCTTACAGGCAGACCTGGGCATTTACTGCCCAATTGTCACCCCAATTCGGGCACAGGAGCCCGTGTGTTTGGCTCCCTAGGGCTCTTTAAGGGGCTGCCTCCGAGGACAGACCCAGGTGAAGATGACCCAGGATCGGGAACTGGAAGAGGACGCCTCCATGCTGGAGACATGATGGCGTTACTTCTGCATCTTTGAGACAATTCTGTCTGTATCTGACATGAGATGCACGGCCATTGTGCAAAACAATCGCTCATTATGGAGAGAAAGACCTGCTCTCTGCAGCTGTGGGCATTGACTTCCCACACGTGGACGTGGAAACTGCATTTTCAGCGCCTCGGCAGAACAAGAGGTGACTGACTGTCACCCCTCCTCCCTGCAGCTGGCCACCTCCCTGAACGGCGTGTGCACTGGTGTTTGCATCAAGAAGGGCTGCTGCCTGGCCCGCTGGCCAGACCCCGGGTGGATGGACGGAGCACCGTCTGCCCCTCTTACTCTGTGAGCTGCCCCGGGTGGAGTCAGAGACCAGGGAAGGAAGGGCTTTGGGAGCCTGGTGTGTGAAATTACACTGCAAAGGAGGACAGTGGCCACCTGGATCCTGCGGAATGTGTGACATGGCCTGTCACAGTGACAAATACTAAGATGAGAGACCGTGAGAGAGAGGCCCGCTGCAGAATCACAAAACAGCATGAGGCAGGCAGAGCAGCCCCTCTGGCCTCTGGGGCACTAATGTTTTAAGGAACATTTCCATGGCCTTCCACATGGAGCAGTTGTCTGTCTGTCACTTTGGAATTTGTGACATCCAATTACTTCTAGGAAACAAGTCTCATGAATTGAAAATTCCAGCTTGTTTGAAGTCTCTGACTTCTTCCCAGGCTTCTTGGTGACCAACTATGCCTAGCAGCCACCCGTCTCTTGAGTTCTGCTCATCAGTTAGGATGATTTACAGTTATAAATGGAAGGGCCCTCAGTGCTACAGAAACACCAGTGGGCCTGTCCTTGGAGCAGTGACTGCGGTCCTCCAAGTCATGGCTCTACCATAGCAACTGGGCCTCCTGCATTTAGCTGGACACCTGCTCCTTTAAGAAAGACACAATCCCAGGCTCCTTAAGCAAGGCATGGCCACATGATCTTGTTCAGGCTGATATGTGGGGAAGTGGCAGGCAGTACTTCTGGGTCATGCCCCTAAGCCTGCATGCTTTTCCTGTCCCTCTTCTTGGAGGGAAGTGGATGTCTGTGCACCATATTGGGTGGTAAGGAGGATGGACGATCTGACAGAGCAGGTGGAGCAATGATGCAGAAAGCCTGGGGACGTGCCATCCAGGCGTCATCACACAACTGTTCGGCTCATGCCTAGCCTGGTGATGACAGCCAGAAGCCCCCATTCTGTTTAAGCTACTGTCACTCAGATCCCTGTTCCTGCAGCTGAATCCATGTCCTGATGCCCCTGTCACATTCATGAAGCTTTAGATTCACTGTCCCTATCACCCCTCACCCTGCTCCCTCATCACAGGTGACTACTACCTCACAATGTTTATCAGTTTTCCATCACACACAAAGTACCTGAGACAATCAACTTACAAGGAGATGGGTTGCTCTTGGCTCTTGGTTTCTGAGTGTTCGTCCATCCTCACTCAGACCCATTGCTATTGAGCCTGTGATGGTGCAGTGTATCATGGTGGGAGCACATGGGGTAGGAAATTGCTTACTTCATATCAGCCAAGCAGCAAAGTACACACCCCCATGACCTACCTTCCTTCTACTAGGCCCCACTTCCTGAAGGTTCCACCTCCTCCCAATAGCACTGCAGGCTGAGGACCAAACCTTCAACACAAGGGCTTCTGGGGGACATTTCAGATCAAGCCATAGACTCAGGGAAGCAAGTTTGTTTTGTCCCCAGTAGCACTGGTCCCTAACCTCATCCTGATGCATGTTCTCAGCACTTACTCTTTCAGGCCTTGTTCATCGCCCTGGGGCTACAGCTATGGCCATCGAGCCCTCCTGTTGTGGACAGTGCATGACCAGCTTGGGCATCCTACAGCCTTTGGGGAGGAGGTGTGCAGGTCCTAGCTAGGCACTGGAGGAACCTGGGTAATTCTTTCTGGAAGTTTCTCTCATCATCAGAGTCAGCCCATTTTTGATACCAGTTTAGGCTTTGCCATTCCCTGATTTGGGGCCTTGGACAAGTGACTTGACCTCTCTGAACCTCAATTTACTTATTTTTAAAGTAGAAAATCAGAGCACCTGTCTCACTGGAATGTTGTGACAGTGAACTCGCAAATTAGAATTGCTCTGCAGAGCATGGTGTATGAACTATGGAAACCATTGCAGTTTTAGAACTCCCTGTCTCTGTTTGTTTTAGGTCTCACAAAACTTTATAAACAACCTGTATGTAATCTTACCTACACTGGAGACAGGAAGGAAGATCACAGTTTGAGGCCAACCCCGGGGGGAAAATGTTCAAGGGACCCCTTCTCAAGATAAAAAGGCTGGGCACAGTGATGCATACAGGTCATGCCAGGCTGGCGAGAAGCATAAAAAGAAGGTTTATGGTCAAGACCTGCCTAAGCATGAAGGGAGACCCTATTTGAAAAACAACAAAGGCAAAAAGACTGGCTCAGGGCTTAAGTGGTAACCTGACAAGCCCAGGGCCCTGAGCTCAAGCCCCTGTGCCACCAAAAAATAAAAACCAGGATATACTATACAACATTTCTATGAATCAGTGCCAACTGGGGAGGAAAGAAGTATACACACAAAAAAGAAAGTTCAGAAGCTGTACAAATGACAGTGATTAGAATTTACTCAGCACTCACTATGGGTCATCAGGAGTGAGGTTAAAGCTTACCCTCACACTGCCTGGTCCCATCTGCTCTGTGCTGTGTCCTACGATGACCCTAAGTTCACAAAGGAGGAGGAGAAGGTGAGAGACTGAGTGGAGGGAGACAGGCCTCTGTTCAAGTTCATGGCCTGAACTGTCAGGAGGGCTGACATGGCTGCACGAAGCCCATGACAGAGTGACAGTCTGGGAAGTCCTGTGGGGGCCACCCTGGGCTGAAACAGAGGACAGCAGAGACAAAACGTCTTTCAGTTGTGACAAAGTTTACGAGTATCTGGACAGAGACACATCTTTCTGTGTCTGCTCCCATGGGAAAGGGAAGACCTGAAGAGAAGACTTAATAAAAACAGAATAAAAGGCAAACAGAGGGAGGCTGCCTGAGAACATAAGCCAGGAGACAAGACACCATGATGGGGACACAGAGACAGGGTGGGATGAGGCACAGCTCAGCCCTGTCCAGTGTCACCACCCATCCTAGATGGAGGCCTAGAAGAAAAAAAAGGTGTGACATGTCAGAGTATAAATATGATCACCTCAATTTCTATGGTCTGCCCCACGTTGAACTTTCAACCAAAGATTACAACACACAGGAAAAGGGAAGGGAAAAATCAAGAGAAAAAATAGTAAATACAACCAGACTCAGGTGTGGTGCAGAGGGTTTACAGTGAACACAAAATCACTGATAACACAATAATGCCACCACCGAGAGGAAATGTGTGTGCATATGGGAAATTTCAGCAGAGAGAAGGCAACTGGAAGGGAAGATCCAATGCAGATGCAGAGAAAATCAAAGTGACAGGTGCAGACCGCTTTCCATAGACCTCTCCGTGAACGTGACACAATGGAGAGGAGGGATTAGAGTGGGGGATAACTGGTCTTTTCCTTCAAAGAAATAGAATTCTACACTCAAGCCAGGTAAATCCACTTTAAAGCAGCAGCTCGTTATGCTTGCACAACCCACGGCTTCCAGGAATGTTAAATGATAACCTTGACTTTACCTCACCTGCAGTCAATCGAGAAAGATGGAACCCCGACTCCTGCCACAAGGAGAAGGGGCAGTGTGGTGTCAGGGATAAAAACCCCAGCGGACTTCCCTCTCAGTGTGCTTGCCTATCAGACCTGTGTCGGTGGCATACCCCTTCTGCAGAAGTAAAACTGTTTGCCTTGCTGCCTGACTTCTGAGTCTCATTCGTTCATCCAGAGATTTTTTTCCAACATTAGAAGACATGACCATGGGTCTTTAGACCTAAAACAGCTGAAGCAAAAAGAGACAATATGTTTAAAACAAAAAAAGTCCCCCTCTTCCTGGGAGGGCTCGGGAAGTGCTAAATCAATGAGTAAGTAGATTTTCTGTTACTTTTGTGCTGTGCTAGAGAGAACAGGGAGTTTGGTTTCAAATACATAGGAATTGCTGGAAGGAGTCATCCCATGGGTAAAAGGGCAAGGACTTAAGAGCCCACCTTTGACATGGCTGTGGCTCTGCTACTTACGGTGGGTGTGGGGCAAGTGACAATGTCAAAGAGCCTCATTCCCTTGGTTTGTAAAATGGAGAAAATCAGGGTTCCAATCTACAAGAAGTAAATGACGGATCACAATTGTCCCTTGCGATAGGTAGGTGTCTGAGCTATGGTGACTATTGTTTTTCAGCAGGGACTCCCCTATTGTGGTGTCTGTTTTGGTCTGACGACATTTATGAACAAACAGGAACCAACATAAAAACCTTCTAGGGGAGGAAGGAAACACAAATCCCACAAAAACATTCGGTCATTACAACGATGGCTGGTAACAACATTCACTGACATTTACTGAGCACTCATGACCAGCAGGTGTGAGGTTAAAGCTTGCACATCCCTGCCCCACCCCATTGCTCAGTGAGGTACCCTACAGCACTTCCAAGTCCACAGAGAAGGAGCTGAAGGTGAGAGACTGAGTGGCGTCCCCAGGGCCACCTGCCTGGTGGAGGGAGACAGGGCTCTGATCAAGTTCATAGAGAGGACTGTCAGGAGGGCTGATGTGGCTGCACGGAGCCCATGACAGAGTGGCATCTGTGAAACCTGCAGGGTCTAGGTGGGGCTGAAATGGAAGAGAGCAGAGATGAATTGTCCTTCAGTTGTGACAAGGTTTACGAGCACCTGGACAAGGACACATCTTTCTGTGTCAACTCCCTTGGGAGAGGGAGTCCTGAAGAGAAGACTTAATGAAAACAGAATAAAAGGCAAACAGAGGGGAGGTTGCCTGAGGACATTTCACAGCCATCATAAAGAGGACACAGAGAATAGGGTGTGATGAGGTGTGGACGGCGTCTGGGTGCCTATGCTGTGCGGAACACTCATGAATGTCATCGTTTACCCTCAGTGACTGAGTGGCGCTGAGTATATGCAAAGCAGGTCGGGAACTAGGAGCCCAGGGGAGCCTGTGCTGGATGGGAGGTGGAGATGAAGTGGTTTTGCTGTTTATCAACTTGCTTTATGGTTCCTGCCGCAGGCTGCATTGCGCTTGAATGTTCTGCTCAGCAAGAACGACTCACTGAGCGGAACAGGCTCCTGCCTGGTGTGGCCCTGGGACACAACCAGCCTGGGGCCCCACAGCCTCCTGAGTGCTGGGGCTGAGTGTGGGTGGGATGCAGGCAGAGTGAGTGTGGGACCCATGGATGAGCAGTGGTTAGGACTGGTAGTGGGACTTTGCAAAACCTCTGGTCTGTGATGCTCGCTCTCCCTCGCTCACAGAGCACATAGTTCACAGCATGCGAACTAGGAAAAGATGAGGACATTCCTTCTCTTTTCAATGCTGTGTGCTGGAAAGGAAGTGACAAAGAAGATGAAGGGGAGCAGGACACATCCACTCTGAGAGCAAAACCGGTCACACCCTGTGGTGGCCATGTTGGCTCTGCTGGGATCCCCGGGAGACAGGAGGGTCAGCAAGAACGGACTGTGCACACAGCACTGGATTAGGTCCCCAGGAGGCCACTTGCAGAGTCTCCCACACTGGGCCACTAGTGCCTCTGTCCACTTGTCCCTTTCCCTGGCCTCTCCCATGAGGACTTTGTAGCTGCAGAGATGTGCCTGTGGGTGGGTTGACCTCGGAGCCTGCTGGGCACCTCCACGCCACTGTCACCCGCAGTGAGGATAGTTTCAGCTGTCTCTGCAGAGCAGGAAGGGAGCCCCAGACCCAGATCAGAGAGGGTCCTCGGAGAGTGACAGCAGCCCAGAGACAGCAGATGGGGACCCTGGAGCTCTGGAGCTGCTTGGCTTGTACCTGAGAGGAAAGACAGCCCAGAGGGACAATTGTGTCCCCTGTGACTGGTCCTGAGGAAGCTCAGAAATTGAGCTTCTGGAATTGGCCTACTTAGTTATTTTTCCTTGTCCCGCGTGGTCCAACACAGAGACTCAGGTGATCTATCACCCGGGCTGGCTGCTCAGATTTTGGAAGCATGGGTCTCTCAGATGGCTCCCTTCCCCCTTCTCCAGGGAGGTAGGGGTCCAGGTGGCTCAGCTCTGTGGAAAATGCTGGGGTCCAGAAGGGCACAATTCCAAAGGGGTTCCACATGCTGAGGTAGGAGGACGGGGCTGTGCAAAGCAAACTCAGGCTTTGCTGCTGGAAGGAGAGGGAATGACTGTGAGACAGGCAAAGTATACAGGACCTGAGGTGACCTGCGGTGACAGTGACAGGCCACCATGGCTGCAGCCCCTGCAGTGCAGGTGACCCCCAGAAGCAGCCCCGAACCCTACCCACCTGGCCTGGGGACTGCTTCAGTGTGTCTGTGACATGGAAGTGCCCATTCTGGGATGCCCCTTAAATACCTAGCAGACTATGACAAATAAGGGCTGTCTCATCCCTGGGGGCGTCCTGGGGATTAGAGGAACCAAAGATGAATGCTGCCACTTGTCAGGCTGGAGGCATTAATTTTGGCCTCAGGCAGGCGTGGCTAGGACTCATTAACACTGAAAGGGATTAAGCTGGGACCTGCTGGAGGGAAGGGGACCTGGGGAAGAGGAGGGACAGGCAGGTAGCATCAGACCTGGGTCACTAACTGCAGGGAAGGACAGGCATGTGGCAGGTGCTCCTGGAGGGCTGTTGTCCCCATGCCTGGTCTGTGCCTGTCTTCCTGACGCTATCTCTCCCGTGGCACAAACCATCCACACTGCCCTGATGTAAACCCACACTTCAAGTTCCTCATGGGCTGTGGCCAGGGCTCCAGCAAGGCCCAGCCCCTACTCTGTCCGTGTGGCCCTGGCCGGGTCCTCCCTCAGCTGCACCAGTGGGCACAGGGCTGAGCTGGAAGGTTCTGGAATCAATTCCAGCCCCGGGGGAAACGGCCCCACGCGTCCCCATGCAGAGCTCCAGAGTCACAGGGTCTCATCATCACAAGGGGACTGAGGGGACGCATCTGTCACAGAGCCCGGCTGTCAAGCGTTGATTCTGCTCATCTGAGAGAGTTCCCACCCACAGCAGGGCGGCTGCTCGCTGAAGCTGAGTGGCTGGTCCCCAGTAAGGGTCACCCGAGCACCAACTGCAGCTTTTAATAGACGAGCCCCATCTCCGCCCGGCCGCCCCCCGCACTCCTGCTCTGATCTCACAGGGGAGAGGGGGATTGCGACACAGGAGTGCATCCTTCATCTGCTAACTCCTGAGAAAGGCAGCCAAGAAAACGTCATTTAGGAACTAGGAGCACAGGTGGTGGCTCCATCAGGAGGGCTCACTGGCACCTGATGAAGTGACAGGTTGTCTGTCAGAGGGACCTGACATGACCACTCATGAAAACCCTGAAACTTGTGTCCACATGAGCCCCGGGGAGATCAGACCCCAGAGACCAAGGAGGCCCAGCTGAGCTCTGCCCTCCACTCCTGCACAGGGAGAGCCAGGGCCCCACCTGGCCCAGCACTGGATCAGAACCCGCAGTGCTGAAGGGCGGGCCGGCAGTGGGCATTTATCTGCTCCTATCCACCCAGCCCTGGCTGGGGGCTCCACCTGCTGTGGGCGCCCAGGACACAAGGGGGTAAAGCTAAAATCCGCCCTCTGCAGACCCCTTCAGGGTTCTCAGGCAGCACAGTCAACGGGCAGTGGCGACCTTCCTGCAGGCAGTGGCCTTGGGCAGTGGCTCCCTGTCAGCATGACTCCACTCCCTGTGGCCACAGTCCCCAGGATGCCCTGGTGCCCATGCGAAGGCCTGGCCAGGCTGTGCCTCCTCACAGGGAGGTGGGTCCCCCTTAGAACAGACCCTCGGGGAAGAGGAAGGTTTCCACTGCACAAAGAAGGGGAATCGAAGCAGACCAGAGGGTGCTGAAGACCTGACCCGGGAGGGAGATTTTCACATGGCTACAGGAAGTTAGGTTCAATAAGCCTGAGCTCTGGTTGTGGCTTCATCACTCTGGCTACATCGGAGCAGGTCACTTTGTCCTCTGACCCTTGGTTTTCCCACTTGGAAGTGGGGAAGGTGACAGCAGTGGCCTCTGGTGGCTTCGTGAGGCCTGAGGAAGGCGATGCAGCAAAGAAAGAGCTGCTGGGTTTCTCCATCCCTGCCTCGGTGTGCAGTAAACCCGCGGCTCTATCTGCTCCCTCCTGGACCCTGGGGAGCCCAGTGCACCCCTCACCTGGGTTCAGGGCTCAGCGCCTTTGCAGACACAGGCTCCCTCAAGTTTTTGGTGAAGTCGCTCTGCTTGGTTTAAGGTTTGGCTCCCTTCTGTCTACGGCAGGTGGGAATGACTTTCTTTACGGTGGTGAATCGACATTTCCTCCTGGGGAGAATTTAGCCGCATTAAATGTGAAGTGAATCAGGGAAAACATGAGTATCATACCTGTGCAGCATGGAAGGCGGTGTGAGCTCTGATCTTGGAAATGGGAGCCTTCCGACATCTCCTTTGCACAGGTGGGGAAACTGAGGCCCACCGGAGGGATGGTATGCACCAGGTCAGAGAGCAAGACTGAGGGAGAGGCAAGTCAGGAACTGAGGTGTCTGTCCACAGACTCAGCGTGTGATCCGTGGCTGATGGCTTCATTTGCCAGGGACATGAGGAGGTGGAGGAGAAGCCAGGTGGCATCTGGGGCCGTGACAGCGCCCTCCACTCTGGGGGGATCAACTCAGCCTCTCCAGCCTGTCCAGCTGATGGCCGATTTTAACAGTTTGGACAAGCACGGTGCAGCCTGCAAAGATGCAAATGTCACCTTTGGGACCCTAAGAAAGTGTATATTTCTGGCCAACTTTGTCCTGTGGGGGGCAGGGGTCTCCTGAGTCACTTCCCTCAAGCTCAGTGGTGGCCACGGGACAAAAGCATTTCCAGAACCTGCTGGGCTGCATTTCCGAGACCAGCTGCCCATGGAGCTCTGTCTCAGCTCCTGGTTCAGCCCCTGGCTTCTCTGTCCATCCTTCCTGCCTCCACACCACTTTGCTGGGTTCACAGTCAGGCCTGGGGCTGGTGTGGCCTCTCCTCCCCAGCTCCTCCTTCGCCTTCTGCGGGGACATTAGTTCACCTGACTGAGTCTGCAGGAAAGCCGTGGGGACTGATGAGGTCTACAGGAGAGCCGCAGGGCTGGCTGGGATGGCACCAATCTACAGACAGAGTTGGGAAGCCCTGCGGGTTTCACCTCCACATTCACAGAGCATGCGTGTCTCTGTTTTATAAAAAGGCTGATGTTATGGTTGGTTCTTAAGTGTCCCCTGAATGCTTGGTCCCCAGCTTTGGAGCCTGGAGGAAGTCATCTCTGACTTGGCCTCCCGGTTGCCATGAGAACAGCCTCTTCCTCCTCTCACCTCTCCAGGATCCTCTGCCAGTTGACCAGCGTTGTTGATATCAGAAGCAAACTGAGATGACCATGTCACATCCCTGTGCTCCTGGCCGTGACTCCAAAGCTGCTGCAGCCAGTTGTGGGCAGGAGATGGGGACAAGAGGACACCTGTGTTCTCAGGTGTGAGGACCAGTGGGACAGCCACATGTTCCCCCCCCCGAGGTACCCCAGGGAAATGCTGACCCAGGCCACAGGGACAAGAGTGCAGGTGCTCTGTGAGTAGGGCTGTGGTGACTGGGTGGGGACACTGCTGAGCGGGTGCCCGGGGAGGACAGAAGGCAGTGAGAACCCGGGCGCTGCTGTCTACTTAACAAAGAGCACATCTGTAAAACAGGAGCACTTTGGTATAAACAGAAAGGTAATGAGCAGAATGAAATTAATGACGTTAATTAAGGAGACTAATACCATTGGTGCATAAGCCTGCAAACAGCAAGGGACACTCTGCAAGCCAGTCACAGCAAGAGTCACTGAGCACAGTCCATGGTCCACCGGGAAGGGACTCTTAGGACTGGTCTTCAATACTCACTCACATAAACAGATCAAAATTCAGCAGAACTCAGAACCATGGTCGTAAACGCCACTTCCCAGGTCCCTCACAGTGGGAAGGGGAAGGGGAAGTGGGGGAGGCAATGAGAAATAAAGCCATGGCGATGCAGCCAGGACGAAGGACGCAGACTGACTGTGGTGCTCAGCGGTCTGGTTAGCTCAGCCCATGGCTCTGGAGGAGCCACAGGAAGATGGTAAGAAGACAGAGCAGTGAAGCAGGGTCTCTGAGGCCCTGGGAGCCCAGACAGAGAGTGAGGACGCATGTCCTCTCTCCCTTACTGGGGACAAGGTGGGACAACCACTCTGATGCGTCACACCCTCTGCATGGCCCGACTGCATGGCTGGATAAGCCCTTCCTGTGACCACACCCCACTGCGGGCCCCGCCTCCCTCCCACTTGACCCCACTGCTCCAGCATGCAGTGCACCTGCAGGGGCATGAGTTACCAGGCTCCTTCTGCTGGGGTGGAGTCCAGTGAGTCCAGAGCCCTGGGGCTGCACAGGCCTGGACCTGGTGCCCGAGCCCCACCCCCGATGGGAGGGGCAGCGCCTCCCTCGGGGGGACCCGCAGGGATGGGGTCCCCAGCAGCCTCCTCAGCGCTGACAGGTGCAGAGGGAGCTTGGCTGAGAGTCAGGGCATTCATGTGGTGTGCCAGTGTCACCTGAGGGAATGGCGAAAGTGACAGATGGCGGCCAAGCCAGACCAGAGGTGTCAGCAATTTTTTTCTGCATTTCTCATTTTGTTTTCATTTCATCTCAAACTGGAAGCACTTTTGGAGTTTGGAAAATGTGGCACAGTCCATGCAGGCAGACTTGAGTTAAGAGTTGGGGAACACTCCGATTAAAGGCCGGTCTCCTCACTGTCACGGCTGTCACAGGGAGCTGTGCCACTGAATCCATGTCCTCTGTGTTGTGGGATGATGGGCTCCTGCCAAGGCCTCTGGGTTGTATTTCCTAACCTTTCTGAGCCCTGTCCACTCAGCCAGGCCCTGTCCAGTCCATTGTGGCCACTTCCCTGCAGATGTCTTGGGCCAAGAGTCGCCTCTGTCACCTGCCACTCACACAGAAGGCCATGTCCATGCTGTAGTTCACTGGAACTAGACCTACTCTGAGCTTTCATGCAGGACTGTGTCAGCCTGACCTTGTGTGTGACTGTTGTCATTGTAGATGGGGACTCAGAGATGTTAAGGAACCTGCTCAAGGTGAGACAGTTGGCAAGAGGGGAGGAGGGTCCCACCAGTGTAGGTTGGACTCAGGTTCTGCTGGGAACAGTCTACACTTTTGTCAGTTCCTCTGAGGTCATCGAACCAGGATTTCTGCCAGAAGCTTCAACTGAATGGATGATGAGTGAGGGAATGAATGAGCGATTGAATGAATGAGTGAGTGAACGAATGAGTGAATAAGTGAATGAATGTGTAAATAAGTGAGTGAGTGAATGAATGAATGAGTGAATGACTGAGTGAATGAGTGAATGAGTGAGTGAGAGAGTGAATGAGTGAAATGACTGAAAAACATAGTTGAAACTTTGTCCCCTGGGTCCACCTTGCCAGTCAAGCTCAAGGGCCCAGCCGGGCATCCCAGTGCGTGGATTTCTCACTGGAGTTGACCAGTGAGTTCTCTCCCAGATCCCAGGAGCGGGGCCTGACCGTCCGGCCCTGCCAGCACCTGGCTGTACTTGTCTTGAGAGTTGACCCCAAACTCACAGACCTTGACATGGGCCTCAGGGCCAGAGTTCATCTGGGGTGTGCTGCACTGTTGGCCTTCAAGGATATCTGAGCAGTGTGATGTCCACACAGAGGAGACCAGGGCCGTGAGGGGTGGACACGCCTGTCCTCAAACCAGAGAAGGGAAGGGATGAGGTGGGGTGGGGCGTCCCTCAGCTTCCCAGTTTCCATACAAATCATGAGAGAATGAGATTTGCAAAAAAAAAGCATTTCAAGAATTCTCACAAACAGGAGACACAAGGTGAGAGTTTAGCAAGCATTTATTTTAGGAAAACAGGACAAAGGAGGGGGAACTAGGACAGCGAGGGGGAGTCATCTCTTGCACGTCCCGCGCAGGGACTGGGAGTGAAGAAGACTCAATGGTCGTTCTCATCCAGGTCTTTATACTCTCTGAGCTAGGGGACTGCACGTGGCCATGTCATCTGGAAACCCCTAATCCTCAGAGACAATGGATTCGGGCTGGGTCCCTTACCCAAATATGGCCAAGTAGGGTCTTGTTATTATTTCCAAAACACAGGGATGTCGTCAGGCTTACCCAAAACATGGGGACCACTGGTGTGAGTCTCAGGACTTCCATTGTGGGCATCCCTTTAATTCTCTCTCTACCCATCTGAAGAGTTTGCAGCTTCTTCACATCTAAAAGAAGGCGACCTGCCTGCGCTCTGCATCCCTGTTCTGTTAATGTCTCAACATCTAGAAGGAGAGGTGATGGGAGGACTCAGAGCTTGCTGCTCTGAGTTTCCAGTTTCACCTCCTGGTTCTGTCTTCATTCCTGCGTTTGGCATTTTAAAGTTCATCATTTTTAATCTTCATATCACCTCATTTATTTATCCTGTGTCATCCTGAGAGCCAGCCTGAGTGAAGCACAGTTGGGTAGGGCTGCATCGGTCAGAAGTCATTCAGTTTCACGAGACATAAACAACTCGGACTGGTTTTAGGGAAAGAGGGGACTTGGTCCCCATGCGAAGTTTGGGTGAGGAACTCTAGCCACCCTGCAGGTGTCTGTGACTCAGATGCAGAGTGGGCAGAAGGCTTCACCCCGGTCCAGCTGTCTTACCTCTGCTTCCCCTCTGGCTGATCCCACCCCGGGAGATGCCCTCCTGGGGTCCTGTGCCAGCACCCCCAGCCCCAGGCCTGGTCCTCATGTTTTGCTTACGTCCCATGTGTCATGGGTCCGAGCCTCAGAGATCAGCTCGTGTGACTGTCCAGCATGAGCCAGTGAGGACTCCCAATGTGATAGTCCGAGAGTCACATTGGGGCCCTCCTTGGGACAGGGATCAGAGGAGATCTCTAGGGACCCAGAGTCCACTGAGACCCAGGCAGGCCAGGATGGCAAACGTCCACCCTTGTGTGGACAGAGCTGCCCCCGACCTGGCCTGGGCTGCTCCAACTTGGCTCACTGCAGGGACAATGTGCAATGTCTCCCCAGGCCCACCTCCCTCTCGGATGTCCTGACACTTCAGACTTGGGGAGTCCACACAGACCAGAACCCAGGCCACTGTGGCTACTGCTGGCCGAGCTGGGCTTCCCCTGAGGCTCTGCAGGAAGTGGGCTGCCCAGATCCTACAGCCCTGGAAATGGGGTCCCCTGGGCCAGAGGAGATCACAGTACTTTACTGTCTCTCAGGGGACTTGTCCTAGCCTGATTCAAGAGCTGGAGCCTCAGACCTGGCAGAAAAAGCAAACGTCGTTCACCAACAGGAATCGGATAAAGCTCCCTAAGAGCTCAGAGCCCCAGCCAAGGTGAGCAGCGAGTGTCGCCTTTCTACTTGCTAAAGTTCAAGTTTGGATTTCGTGATCTCAAATACTTTCTCCCGAGAGTCATCCATGTTAGGAAAGACGCCTGTGAACACTTGTCCTTCACTTTCAAAAAATGACCAAAATGAAAGCAGTGGTAGTTTTTGTGCTCACCTGATGAGCTGCTTCTAAGAAATCTGTGAGCAGGGGGTGTTAATTACAGTAATTAACTAACCGAATCATCACAGTCCCCCAGGAAAACAAATATTTGTGGTTGCTATAAAAATAAATCCAGTTTAAAACGCACGGTGGGAATCAGGGACTGGCTGCTAAGGGCTGTGGACTAAATTATCAGCAGTGTCACCTCGGCTCCAGCCTAGAATCAGCCAGAGCTGCAGTTAAACTCATTAACAAAATAGGCGAAGCTTGGTTTCTGGTGGGTATTTCTGGAGTGTTTGCCATGGAGGATTCTGTTCTGGTGTGGACCCCGTGTGTGGCTGGGTGGGGATCTGAATTCTGAGTGAAGACAGGGTAGAGCCTTCTGGGCATTTCTGGTGTCTATAATGGGTCAACCTCTGCCTTCCATTCCTGGACTCTGCTGGTCTCAGCAAAGGGGGGGGGGATCCCAAATGTGTCCAGATGCAGGCGCCTCAGGCTTGCGGACAGCAGGGCTGAGCTGGTCCCCACCCACCAGGCTCTGCTCCCACCAGGTGGGTTCTGCGGCCCAGGCCACATGACCTGCGTCACACCCTGTCCCCTCCAGCCCACCTCCAATCCCAGCCCGCAGGTTGGGATGCTCAGAGAGCCCAAACATTTGGAAGGGACAGAGCCCCTTAGGCACAGGAAGAGGAAAATGTCATTTCTCTCAACCGTTCTTCTTGGGGCTTCTTCAGCCAGAAACGGGCTCTGCCAGCCCTGGGTTCCCACCCGCAAGGGACAGCGGTAGGGATTCTGCGTGAAAAACCCTTCTCTTCCTCCCATGGCAGAATTCCTTTAATGCTGTGTTTTGAAGCACAGCCTTTGCTTGAAATATAAACCTAATTATCTCAACACAGTAACGAATCCCACACCATAACTGAGGGAACAGCAATTCCAAATCTCTTCTCTCTCATATGGTTGTGGCACCCGCTTTGTAATTCAATGTGGCACACACTTTGTAACTCAGCAGGAAGCCGTGTTTGTGATGGTGAAAGACCAGTTACCAGGTGGCCATGGCTGCCAAACACACATGGGGACCCTGGGGCTCTGCCAGGAACCACAGAGCTACGGACATTAGGGGCTCCACGTTGGGGTCAAGGACAGGTGGGGAGGGCAGGTGTCGGGGTTCCAGCAGAGGTGGAGTTGGCTGAGCCAGGCTGCAGCCTGGATGGGGCTGGGTGGGTCAGGGGAAGACGCAGGTCAGGATGGACGGAGAGGGGGAGGTCAGTAGGTCTGTGGCTCGTGGGAGGGGAGCCGAAGTCCTGGGGAAGGGTCTTCAGGTCATGAGTGATGGAGTGGCCACCAGGATGTTCCTAAGGGTTCAGGGACATGGTGTTGTCTGAGCGTCCATCCCTGGAGTAGTGGGAGGGGCTGCGATGACCACAGCCCTCAGAATCTCACTCTCCGCAGCCCATCGTTCTCTGTCATGCATTTCCCCAGGCTCAGTGGACTGAATTTGGAGTAGAGGGACAGAGAAGGGTGACCCACTCGATGCTATTGTCAGGGACAGAACCTATTTCAAACTGGCTTCTGGAAAACGGGGGGCAATTGGCTCATTGTACCGAGAATCACAAGAGCCATTGCTTCGGGTGTGGCAGGATC